CCAAAAGGAAATAGGAGAATACAGAAACCCTTGTATACTATTGGATGGGAAAATGGTGTTTGAGGCATCTGAGAGAAATATACTCTTAAGGAGTTGCTTTGGATAAAACCATATAGATCAGACTTCCCTAATCTTTGTGGATATCTTGGACTTTAACTCCTTAGCCATCATGGCTTAAATGTAAGCTTAAGAGCAGCCCTGATGTCTAGTCAAATGGCCAAGTAGCTGCAAATTCTGAGAGTTGTATTCCATATTTTTTGGAGATCACCAAGCTTGGGAAATGCACTTTTCCTATGGGAAATTCTCACATAAAAGCTGTGGTCCCCTGCCATCATAGCAATTTCCAACAAAATTCTAAATACCTTGGGAATTTCAATGGAAAAGTATTGAGATATCAATGTCTTTCCCTATATTTTCAGAATAACAGAATAATAGAGTTGGAAGTGACCTTGGAGGTCATCTAATCCAACCCTCTGCTCAAGCAGGAAACCCTATACCATTTCGGACAAATGACTGTCAAATTTCTTCTTAAAAAACTCCAGTGTTAGAGCACCCACAATTTCCGGAGGCAAGTCATTCCCCTGATTATTCTCACTGTTGGGAAATTTCTCCTTAGTTCTAGATGGGGTCTCTCCTTGACAAGTTTCCATCTGCTACTTCTCGCCTGCCTCCAGGTGCCTTTTTAATTTTTTTTAAAAGTTGCCACAGAACATATTCCAATGCCAAAAGGCAGATTTTTAATTATAAAATTTATAAAAATAGTTTATCTTTTTACACAGGTGTCCATTCTGTCTGTTGACTCACAATAGTGCATGATTAGAGCATAGTGCTTGCAATCAGATATCCATTCAAATCGTAATCTTTTTGGTAAACTGTCTATGAGAAAATGTTTGTCATTACATTGTTGCTGACTTCACGTACTAAGCCAGTTGTATGTAGCAGCTGATCATATATATTTTCCCCCCACATCACTTGAAATGTCTATGGAGATTCTCAGTCATCCAGGTCATTGTTATCCCAAAGATGCTTTTTCACAAGGCAACTAGACTTTCTTGTTTTTCTCTGAAGACTTTTCGCTTCTTGTCCAAAAAGCTTCTTCAGCTCTGACTGGATGGTGGGGAATGGAAAGATTTATACTCCTTGCAGACAGCTGGTCATTTGCATTCTTTTAGCCAGTCATTAGTGCTACCTGGAGGGTTATCTGTGTCTTCAGGATCACCTGAGTAATGCAAATGTGTGTGGAGCTTTCTTGGAACTGTTGAAAGAACTGTGTTGTAGACTGGAGATATATGATGTCATATCCCTCCCCCTCCGTTGAGGTAGGGTGTTCAATTTTGACATAGATGGCCTCTTTGACCCCTCTTTCAAACCAGCAGTTGTCTCTGAGACCTGAGGTGAGCAAATCCATCAGGACAAGAGTCAGCAGTCCATCTGCATTTAAAAGACAAATCCACTCTTTCGAAGAAAGCAAAATCCACATTTTGGACAAAGAGGACCACTGGTTTGAAAGAGGGGTCAAAGAGGCCATCTGTGTCAAAATTGAACAGGCCTTTCTCAACAGAGGGGAAGGGATATGACATCATCTATCTCCAATTTACAACACAGTCCTTTTAACAGTTCCAAGAAGGCTCCATACACATTTGCACTATTCAGGTGATCCCGAAGACACAAATAAGCCTCCAGGTAACACTAATGACTCGCTAAAAGAATGCAAATGACCAGCCATCTGCAAGGCGTATAAATCTTTCCATTCCCCACCATCCAGTCAGAGCTGAAGAAGCTTCTTGGATGAGAAGCAAAACGTCTTCAAAGAAAAACAAGGAAGTCCAGTTGCCTCATGAAAAAGCATCTTTGGTATCACTTGAAACATCACTCTGACTGTAACAGTAAATAATACAGGACATTCATCTTTCTCTACAGTAATTAAAAACTAAACATGGCTTTTTAGAATAATAGTCATAACATAGTCATTATATTCTCTGTCCATTTGTGTGGTGTATCTATTTTAGATAAGATATCTTTATTGTCATTTTTTACTGTGGGGACACTGGCACACATTAAAAATGAAATTCTGTTGCCTGGTCTCAAAAGTGTACACATACATAACACCAACAATGGTGAAAAAAGTAAGGTTCTATCTACATTTAGGCAAGAAAAACCAAATGTACAGGTATAGTATAGGGGGTACCTTGCTCAATAGTAGTAACTGTGAGAGGGACCTCGGAGTCCTAGAGGACAATCACTTAAATATGAGTCAGCAGTGTGCTGCAGCTGCCAAGAAGGCCAACACAGTGCTGGGCTGCATTAACAGAGGGATAGAATCAAGATCACGTGAAGCATTAATACCACTTTACAATGCCTTGGTAAGGCCACACTTAGAATACTGCATCCAGTTTTGGTCACCACGATGTAAAAAAGATGTTGAGACTCTAGAAAGAATACAGAGAAGAGCAACAAAGATGATTAGGGGACTGGAGGCTAAAACATATAAGGAAAGGCTGCTGGAATTGGGTATGTCTAGTTTAATGAAGAGAAGGACGAGGGGGGACATGATAGCAGTCTTCCAATATCTCAGGGGCTGCCACAAAGAAGAGGAGGTCAAGCTATTTTCCAAGGCGCCTGAAGGCAGGACAAGAACCAACGGATGGAAACTAATCAAGGAGAGAAGCAACCTAGAACTAAGGAGAAACTTCCTGACAGTTAAAACAATTAACCAGTGGAACAACCTGCCTCCAGAAGTGGTAAATGCTCCAATACTGGAAGTTTTTAAGAAGAGACTGGACAGCCATTTGTCTGAAATGGTATAGGGTTTCCTGCCTGAGCAGGGGGTTGGACTAGATGACCTCCAAGGTCCCTTCCAACTTTATTACTATTATTATTATTGTTGTTGTTGTTGTTGTTATTATTATTATTATTATAGACATGCTACATACATATGTATATACTTAACCCTTACATATAAATACATATAAATGTTAATCACTGTCCATCTTGAATACATAGCAGAAAGAGGAAACTTGAGAGTTCACAAGGTTAATGCTATATTGAACAAAACTGTGACTGAATCTGGATGTTCTGCTTCAGATACCACGGAGCCTCCTCCCAGAAGGTAAGAAGGAAAACAGGTTGTGAAGAGGAAGTGTATTGTCCCAGACAGTCCTGAGGACCCTGCTCAAGCAATGCTTATATGCTATGTATGCTATGTCCTGGATAGAAGAGTTTTATGAAAGAGTTTTATGCATATGTCTATGTACCTGAATTTTTCAATACAGAGGGATTCCTGTTATATAGAAAATGAGCTAAAACCTGGGAGAAAGTCATTGAATCAGAGCTATAATTGGCCCTGTGCTCAGTTCCCCTGATCAGCCTCCTCCAACCTGGTGTCCTCCAGATAGGCTGCAACTACATCTCCCAAATACTACAATGGTTGAGAAACCAGGGAGTTGTAAAGGAAGCATTTGTGGCACTACTACTACGTAGGATATCTAGCTTCTAAACAGACATTAGCCTAGCCTACACTTCTCCTTCCCTTAACACACAATACAGTAGTCATCTTGGAGCTGAGAAACCCAAGTTTAGGCTTGTTACACATCTATGGAAATTCTCAGTCATCCAGGTCATGGTTGTCCCAAAGGTACTTTTTCAAGAGGCAACTGGACTTTCTTGTTTTTCTTTGAAGACGTTCCACTTCTCATCCAAGAAGCTTCTTCAGCTCTGACTGATAATGGGGAGTGGAAAGATTTATACTCTTTGCAGCCGGCTGGTCATTTGCATTCTTTCAGCTAGTCCTTAGTGCTACCTGGAGGTTTATCTGTGTCTTCAGGGTCACCTGAGTAGTGCAAATGCGTGTGCAGCCTTCTTGGAACTGCTGAAAGGTCTGTGTTGTAGACTAGAGATAGATGATGTCAGTATCCCTCCCCCTCTATTGAGACAGGGCTTGTTAGTTGTGAGGGTGTGCATATCTGCAGCTGGGGTAAGTTGGCCTATAATTGGCCAAATAGCTCAGAATTATCAGCTAGGACTGACAACAGGTCTTCAAATTCTCAGGTAGGCTGTTTCTTTGTCTTGCTTTCTGAAATCCCCAGAGCACGGGTGTTCTGTAGCAGAGCCATTATCCTTCCCCAGATGTAGAAAATAGAAAAGTTTTTAAAATGTGAGGAAGAATGAGATGGAAATGTGCAATATTATTACAGTGCCGAAGTTTTCCTTTAGTCAGAACTCTGTTTATCAAGATGGGAGGGGACCCATGTCCAACCCTAATCAGCGTTTCAGACCAGCTGAATTCTTTCTCAGGGTCATCTGTACTTCTAGCTAATTAACTGGTTCTACAAAGCTAAACAACTACATACACTAGACATGGGTAACCAAGATACAATATATGGGAGGTGGATTGTCCCCTATTGATAATACTGTACTGCTGTGGTTTTTATGATACCCGCCCTCCAAATTCTAGTCTGAGTAAACATGCAATGTGCAACATATTAAACACATCCATCTAAGTGGGTTTTAAGGTTTGCTGATAACCACTTCCAAATCTTATTCTGCCTGCCTCCCACAAGTATCATTCACATGTGTATCTAAACCTGAAAAGATGTCCTTGGCCTATATAGTTGATATCCCAGCCTAGGATATCTCAAATTCTTTCTTTGAGTTTGCAGAGGAGTTGTTTTTCTAGGATGAATGCAGCTGTCTTGTGGGAGGCTTTTTTTTTATGGTGTCTCAGAAATATAGAAATAAAGGCAGATCTAGAAGAGGTTCATTTTGTCCTTCTTTGACTGCATTCATTGCCTCCCTCCCATTCGCTTATGGTCACTAGCTGACAGGAGTCAGTCCCATCCCACACGCTGGAGCTTGCCAAGTCCTTCCCACCTGGGCCTGGAGGAGAGACACCAAAACGGGCAAGCTGGGTTTACATACCCAGACCAGGTGCTGCTGGAAAATAGATGGGGTTCCACAGCTTTCTCCTTTGGCTTTTTATGCTGGGACAGCAAAGTAGGTCAATGGATGCATTGAGTAAAAACCGTAGCTGTGTCTCCTATGGATCCAATGCTCTGACTGAGGGACTGGAGCACCTTCATGGCTTAATCTTGGAAGATGGCCGCAATGGCACAATCCAGTGTCCTCACAACCAGTGCTGTTTTGGCATCTGGGAACTGAACCAAGGACAACTTCAAGCCAAGATGCAAGGTGAGGACAAAAGGAAGATGCAACTGGGGAGTCTTCCCTGGGGAGTGAGGGTGAAATGGAAGCAGAATATCAGCAAGCACATTGTGAGTTTTCTCTTTCTGGCTAACAAAGGGCAGTGGGATATATATATTTTTTAATGTAAGAATATGTGAGTCAGGGAAATAATTCTGACTTATGCTCCTGTTCAAAAGTATGAATTTCAGGATATTTTATATTTTTTGCCATAAAGCAAGAGATCATAAAGTACATGCTATGTTCTTCAAGTAAGGTCCTCCAGCTTAAAACTTTACTAACCAATCTTGCTAACCCAGATTGGAAATGGAGATTGAGTGTAGAAGGCAAAACTAAAGATGCAACTGTTATTTCTGTGGTTCTTTGTCTGACATGCATCATATTTAAAGATACTGTATGTGTGGATATGGCTTCTAAGGATTGATCTGTGCATTTTGGTCAACTGATGTCTCATCAGCTGAATGGCTGAATTATACTTCCTGTTGGAGTTTAGGAAGTAAAGACATGAAATTTGGAGTTGCCTCAGTGAAATGTATGTTCTTCCCTTGAAATCTGTGGTCATCAAGTATTCACTTACCTTTGTAAATGCATGCCAAAAAACAAATGGAGCCTTTTCCATTGATAGATTTATGCTTCTGGTTGCTTAAACTTGCCTTCTCTAAAAGTAAGAAATAGAGTGGGTTATAAGTGGACCTTGTATCTCGTAGTTGGGCGCACTTCATTATCTTTCATCTCAGGTACTGGAGTTTCTTATTAAGTGGAACATCAATCATGTTTTATTAAACATAGTGATATTATTTGGAGAGATTGTTATATTTCTATTCGTAGGGAAAGGAACTCACTTTGGCAGGACTTTTGTCTGTTTCATCTTCTCCTTATAATAACCCTTGAAGGTAAAGTAGGCTAAGTTGGCTGCGGTCCACTCACTTAGTTTCATAGCTGAGTGAAGATTTGAATCTGCTTCTCTTAAGTTTCTATTATTTTGACCACTATCACCCAGGTGTCAGCCACTCTAATAATATTTAGCTTTACCTCTTTGAAGGTAAGAGAGATCAGGAAATAGAAGTGTTTTCATCTCTAGAAATGTGTTCCCCAATAAGCACGTTGAAATATAATTCTCAGCCAAAACCAGCTGTGAACATGGGGAATCATATACCAAAATATCTGCAAAACAGCAGACTGAAGAAGGACTCCAGGTTTGTGGGATCTTTAAAAAAAAATATCCCCAACTTTATATCCTTAAGATTCACTACTTAGGACTTAAGTGTTTGACTAGTAGTTCACTGAGCAAATATGCACTGACATGAACAATGGGACAAACATAGATAAACGTATTAAACAGTAGGTATGGGTATTTGCTCTATTGGATGTAGAGTAAATGCGTTATTCAGGAATCTCTCACAGTAGCGAGAGCAAAATTCTCAGCCTTTTCATCCATTTACTCCTTCCTGATTTTCCTCCTCTCCTGAATCGTCCTCCCGCACCCGCAATGAGATTCTCTTCATTTCAGCAACCAGCAAAAGATTTTTGAGTTAAAACTGAAAAGCCAGTCGCTTGCACATCTTCTGCAAGTCGTCTAGAGATCTGCCCAGTACATTCCAGCCTATTTTTGGCCCGTCCCTGCCTGAGAAAAGACTGCAAACTGGCTCTTCTTACAAAGATATCCACAGCTCTCTCACTTCTCCACACTGAAGCACTCCTAGGAGCTGCAGTTACCATGGAGAGCAGCGAGGAAGATAAGGTCAGAGTGCGCACTATGCAAGTGTGTAGCAAAAACACCAGTCCTACTTTCCTTGTCTAACAGCCACACTTAACACTGGGCTACCAGAGGCTGGAAGGGGGGGGGGAGAGTTTAGCATTTCCTGATCTTCCCGTTTAAAGGCCCATACTCTATTTTCTATCATGGGATTCTTTTTGCCAATTAGGCTAGGTTTCCCCAAGGAAAGCTAAGTCTGACGCCACACAATGCTTCCAGAGGAGCAGGGAGTTAAGGAGAGCATCTGGTTTGAAGGAAACAGGGATACTAACAGAGGTCAAGGTCATCTGAAGAGGTCTGAGAGGGCAAGGCATTTTTGGTTGGAAAATTTTTGGTTTTCCACTGATTGATTCTATAGACCAGGGGTAGGCAACCTTGGCTCTTTTATGACTCGTGGACTTCAACTCCCAGAATTCCTGAGCCAGCATAGCTGACTCAGGAATTCTGGCAGTTGAAGTCCACGAGTCATAAAAGAGCCGAGGTTGTCTACCCCTGTCCTAGAGGAATGGATCTATTATTTTCTGGCCAGATCTGTTGGGACTATGACCCTCGTAATGGCCCATCCAGAATAGTCTCAATTGGGATGACTAATATCAGTGCATATGGATATGACTACATTGTGGAAGGCTGATCTTTTGATTTATTTATTAGATTTGGCTTTCATTCAGGAGCTCAAGAGGGCATGCACAGTGCTCCCGCCTTCTATTTTTTTTCTGGATATTTGGGAAGGATCCCAGATTCCAAGAGGATAGCTTTGGGGATGAGGAGGAATGAATTGTGGAAATCAGATCTTAAACATTAGCATTTGCAGTTGATTCTTGATTCTGCTCAGACAGCCAAACTCAGATCCGGGCAGAACCGTGGACTCCCTGAAGTGGCCTTGAATGTAATTTCTTTCTCTCCCACTCTCCTTTGCAGTCTCAGTAGAGGTTTTTTTTCCTTTTTCTGGCTGTTAAATAAAAATACAGTAATGAACCAACTACGGCATAGTTGTAAGGAATAAAGTCCAATCCTACCCATATTTAATGCGACTGTTGCGGCAGTCCTGTTTTACGACCTTGCAGATCTGAAGGATTCCTTTTAGTATTTCTGTGTTACTGATGTGTGACTCTTTCCATGCTTCTGATGGTGGGATGAACGAAGGGATACTTCCAGATGTGGAAAGGGGAGGCAGGCATTGTTCATTTTTATCCTCCTTGATGGACAGCACAAAAGGAAAAGAAGCAGTGGGGGAATAGAGAAAAGTAACAAAGTAGAAGAAAAAGCTGGTGTTCGGACCTCTCTGCCATAAATTTCCATGAATGAAGTTCACAATTGTACATCTCGGTGCTTTAGCAGAATTATCCCAAACATTCTGGGTTTGTGTGTGTGTGTGTGTGTGTGTGTGTGTGTGTGTGTTTCTTATCAATCTAGATATATTACCGTAATTATATTTTTAAGAGTGTGTTCCAGAAATTCAAAAGTGGGAATAATAACATGACTGCCCACAACTTGTACAACTTATTCAATCTTGTTTAGCAATCTTCTAATTATAATATATGGTATGCTATTTATTACACTGTTATTTTATTACTTTGCTGTTTGTATATTGTTCTTATTGCATTGTTTTGGATGTCTGTAACCCACTCAGAGTCGGGCATGATTGCAGTGGCATATTAACCCAGTAAATATGTATATATGTATGTGGGCCTTTGAGTCAGTTTTTGACTCCTGGAGACTGCCTGGGCTAGTCCCTGCAGTTTTCCTGGCGAGGTTTTCCATTAGTGGTTTGTCATTGCCTCTTCCTTAGGATTGAGACAGATTGGCCCCAGATTACCCAGGGCCAATTAAATCCCATACATTCTTTGGTATGAAATGGTTTGTCCCCAGAAGTTGTGGATGCTCCAACACTGGAGGCTTTAAGAAGAGATTGGACAACCAATTGTCTGAAATGGTATAGAGCAAGGGTAGGCAACCTTGGCTCTTTTATGACTCGTGGACTTCAACTCCCAGAATTCCTGAGTCAGCATGGCTCAGCTTGGAAACCTCTCACTTTCCCCTCAGCGTGGCTGGCTCAGGAATTCTGGGAGTTGAAGTCCACAAGTCATAAAAGAGCCAAGGCTGCCTACCCCTGGATAGGGTTTCCTGTTTGAGCAGGGGGTTGGACTAGAAGACCTCCAAGGTCCCTTCCAACTCTGTTATTCTATTCTGTTCTGTTTTCCTTTCCAACACTTGCCAGGTAAGATTTCATCTTTGCAGAGGTTTCATGAACATTGTCCTCCTGAATTCCCACCTCTCCTCACTTCCTTCTCCACCCCATTCCGGTCCTCTCCAAACCAGGTTGCTGGATTAGTGAAAAGGAAGCCTGTGATTCTCCAGCTTGTGAGTTTCGTTCTTCGGCTGCCATCACCTTGTCCTGTAGGTGCCGCTCTGATCTGTGTAATGCTAACATCAGCTACGCCAAGCCTGGAAACAGACCGGGTAAGAAATCAGAGGTCAGGAAGGAAGTGCTGAGTGGGATGGGTTGGGGGAAGGATGGTGGGGGGGGGGCAGAGGATATATGGGTCACACACAGCAGAACAATTAAGGTGGCAGGGAAATTAAGGATATAAGAATCCTCATGCCCACCCCACACCCCCGACCCTAGTATTATGCAGAAGCTCTTTCACATTTCTTTCTTCTTCTTCCTGTTTTTATCTATTCTTCTCCTTGCCCTGCAAATCTTGACAGTCTTTGATTTTTCCTTCCCACAAGCTCACCAAGAGACGCAGAGCTTGCTTTCAGTGGATAGGTGGTGGGAGAGGAGGGAGGAGAGTTGTCTTTGTCTGAGAAGTGCACTTAATTCAGGAGAGACCTTGAGGATGCCGAGAAAGCCCACGCCAGGTCTCTGAGTCAGGCTGATAACTGCATGCCCAAAAGAGGGGGATCTGCCTGGTTAGTCTCAGGAGAGGCTTCAGGTGCAAGGGAGGATTGTTGCTCCCAAACAAAAGAGTACAGAGAAGAGCAACAAAGATGATTAGGGGACTGGAGGTTAAAACATATAAGGAACGGTTGCTGGAATTGGGTATGTCTACTCTGATGAAGAGAAGGACGAGGGGGGACATGATAGCAGTGTTCCAATATCTCAGGGGCTGCCACAAAGAAGAGGGAGTCAAGCTATTCTCCAAGGCGCCTGAAGGAACGGATGGAAATTAACCAAGGAGAGAAGCAACCTAGAACTAAGGAGAAACTTCCTGACAGTTAGAACAATTAACCAATGGAACAACCTGCCTGAATGCTCCAACACTGGAAGTTTTTAAGAAGAGACCAGACAGCCATTTGTCCGAAATGGTATAGGGTTTCCTGCCTGAGCAGGGGGTTGGACTAGATGACCTCCAAGGTCCCTTCCAACTATGATTATGATTATGATTATGATTATGATTATGATTATGATTATGATTATGATTACGATTAAAATCTCCTCTTAAAGAAATGTGCTAAGCCCATTTGAGGCTTTCGGGTTGGCTAACATGGAAGAGATGGCATGGATTTGATTTCCTTGGTTCTCCAGTTCTGGAAATAAAATGGTATCTCCTGGTAGGCAAGATAGGAGCAAATGTTGTTGTTTTTGAGTTTCTGCAGTCCTAAAACACTGTAGTCCACTTTACATATACCATAATAAGATGCAGGTTATTTCTAATTTCTTAATTTACAGCTACAAATGTCAAGGGTAAAAAAGGACATTGAGTTTTGAGTTTCAAGTGGCTGTTAAGTGAATCTGGCTTCCCCATTGACTTTGCTTGTCCAAGATGATCACATGACCCCGGGACACTGCAACCGTCATAAATATGAGTCACTTGCCAAGCATCTGAATTTGGATCACGTGACCACGGGAAGACCGTGCAATGGTCATAAGTCTTTTTCAGTGCTGTTGTAACTTTGAATGGTCACTCAGTGAACTGTTGTAAGTCAAGGACTATTCTTTTCTCCTTGAAGGATACATAGGGAACGACCCTCTTGAGGTAGAGAAGACCTACCAATAAAACCGTTTATTTGCAAAACGAAAGATACCTGGACAAAGAATAGGCCATGTAGTCCTATTTATAGGATGGTAGGGCCTTTTGAGGCAAGAACAAGAGACAAGGGATTAATATAAATGGGAGTAAATTCATTCATGCATACAGAGAAGAGCAATAAAGATGATTAGGGGACTGGAGGCTAAAACATATAAGGAACGGTTGCTGGAATTGGGTATGTCTAGTTTAACGAAGAGAAGGACGAGAGGGGACATGATAGCAGTGTTCCAATATCTCAGGGGCTGCCACAAAGAAGAGGGAGTCAGGCTATTCTCCAAAGCACCTGAAGGCAGGACAAGAAACAACAGGTGGAAACTAATCAAGGAGAGAAGCAACCTAGAACTAAGGAGAAACTTCCTGACAGTTAGAACAATTAACCAGTGGAACAATCTGCCTCCAGAAGCGGTGAATGCGCCAACACTGGAAGTTTTTAAGAAGAGACTGGACAGCCATCTGTCCGAAATGGTGTAGGGTTTCCTGCCTGAGCAGGGGGTTGGACTTGATGACCTCCAAGGTCCCTTCCAACTTTATTATGATTATTATGATTATTATGATTATTATGATTGTTGTTGTTGTTGTTGTTGTTGTTGTTATTCAGCTTTCTCCAACCTGCTGCTCTCTGTTAGTTATGCTGACTTGGAATTCTGGAAGTTGTAGTCCCAACACTTCTAGAGGGCACGAGATTGGGTACCACTACGTTTAGACTTTTCACTTGGGATGACACTGAAGGGGTTAAATTTCATAGAAGACTTTGGGAAGTCTGTATATTAAAAAGATGACTATCGTGATCTGGCAACCTAAGAATTCTATTCTGTAACTTCTCAAAGCCAACTTATCAGAGATTCTATGACATCCCCCGGTCTCCCTCCCTCCCTCCTTTCTATCTTGTCTTGTGAATTAAAGAACCTTCCTATATTTGCGGGTAATGTTTCTTGCAGTTTTTAATTTGACACAGAGCCTGATCCAACTGAAAGATAAGAGGGAGGCTAGCAAAGAATGAAAGGGAAGTAGCCCCTCCTAACCTCTTGAGGAACATTTTCACTCTCCTTTTTTTGTCCCCTCCCCACAATCTCCATCAGCCCTGTGCTTCTGAAGCTGCTTGTCCTCGGCTGATAAAACAATCTCCAACCATCCTTGACAATCCCCCACCCTGATATTTAAATTATTTAAATTGGGAATTATGATTCCAAAATTATTAAGTAGAACAGCAATTAAAATGGAGTTCCAGCTTGGACTTTTCTCCTTATCCTTTGGGCTTTGCATCAAAGAGAAGGAATATTAATCTCTCGCTTCAGTATTGTGTAACCTAAGAGTTGTCTATCATTCGCTTTCACTTGCTTGGTGGCTGAGCACATTTCAAGAAGAAGAAAAAAGAGAACTAGATTCTGTAATCAAAAGTCCTTATAGTTTCTATTTCCCCTTTTACAAAAACATACTCCCCACTCCGGCTGCTTTACCATCTCTCCAACTGCTCACACACAAACACACACTCACAGCCTTCTGTAGTGTTGTAATGCCATATTATGGCCTTCAAACATTCAAAAACCTATGGGGAGGACATAGGAATGTTGGCTGCAGAGAGGAGAAGGAATGGGCTGGTTCTTATAGGGAGGGAAATGTCCTTTTCCCCTTGATTTAATTTTAATTAAAACTTCAGAGGAAAGGGCTACGAGAGGGTGGCAAGAAGCCGATACGGAGGATAGGCAGAGAGGGTTGGAGATGGGCATGCAGAGGCCCATAGGCACATGGAGATGTGGAGGAGCGCCCAAGACTTAGAGCCAAAAAATATATATACAGCTGTTGCATGGGAAATAGGTCGCAAGAGATTGCTCTCCTTCTCTGAAACCTGAAATGTTCTCCACCCTTTCTCCCTTTATGACATCTGTGATCTCCTGTTTTATCTCTGCAGCTGAGTCCATGTCCAGTCCCCTCAGGATTGTCTTGATCGCCGTCACCTGCCTACTGATCCTCCTATGTTTCTCAGCATTTCTAGGTATTGCAATTTCAAGAAAAGTATTTTAAGAGTTGGCTGCGCAAAAGCCCTGAATCTGAGATAGGAAAAGTGAAGAAAAGCTCCCCTGCTGTCTGGGACACCCCTGGAAAATAGCAACACGTTTAGATGATGTACTTCCATTATATTGAAAAACACGAAACACTGAGCAAACCCGTAGGGTGAAATTTGAGGGGCACACTAGCAAAACCAAAGAACCCACTGCTGAGTGCCTCTCCTCTCCTCCTGGCCACTCCTTTTTACAGGTAGTCCTTGCCTTACGGCCAAAATTTATGTTGCTAAGTGAGACGTAGTTAAGTGCATTTTGCCGCATTTTACAACCTTTCTGGCCACAGTTGTTAAGCGAATCACTGCAGCTGTTAAGTTAGTAACATGGTTGTTAAGTGAATCTGGCTGCCCCCCATTGACTTTGCTTGTCAAAAGGTGACAAAAGGGAATCACATCACCCCAGGACACTGCAACCATCCATAAATCTGAGTCAGTTGCCAAGCATCCAGATTTTGATCGTGTGACTATGGGGATGCTGTATGGTTGTAAGTGCGAAAAACGGTCGTACCGTAAGTCACTTTTTTCAGTGATGTTGTAACTTTGGTCACTGAATGAACTGTTGTAAATTGAGGGTTACCTGTGTAAGATTCAGACAGGAGATTCCACTGGCCTTGCTCTCGCTTTTCTGGTAGTGATGATGCATGGTAGGTCTAAGGCAGGGGTCCCCAACCTGTGGGCTGTGGCCCACTAGTGGGCTGTGAGGGGTTTGCAACCGGGTCGCAGAAATGGCTGGAGAGCGCGCAGGCAGGCACCTGCATCCTCACTTGCGCGAACAGTGAGCAAGTGTGCACGTGCTTTTAAGTGAGCGGCAGGCGTGCGTGCACACCCCTAGTGCAAATGGAGCTGCACGGGCATGCGCTTGCTGGCCGCTCACACGGAACCATCCCTTCTCTCCCCCACCGGTCCACAAAGCCAGAAATGTTGGGGAACTCTGCTCTGAGGGAAAAAAGCAGGCAAATGAGCAAAGTGGCAATGACATGAAAAGTAGAATCTTGCTCAAGGACCCGTCAGAATCTGCTGCCCAAGCTGCAAAGATATGTCCACATCACTACAACCTTGTCTTAAGACTGTGTTATACCAGGAGTTCATAATTATAACCTACATTATCATGAATATATACGATTGTTTGCAAGAAAATACACATTTTAAAACAGAACCATGTGGCAGCCCTCCTTTTGGGCATACAGTGTAAAATTTGCATTCAGTCATGGAACGCCTGTTGGGCATGCAGAAGATCCCCGATTCAAGTTTCAACCTACTCAAGTAGAGTTGAAAAAAACCCGATGAGCATGTTGGAGACCTATTGCCAATCAGTGCTGACACCACTGGGCTAAATGGATCAGTGATCCGATTCAATATAAAACAGGGCTACCAAGAATTGGGATGCAAAAAATCTGGGTGACAACTAGGAAGCCGTTCAGTTGTTCAATGGGTTTTTCTAATCGAAATTCGATAGCACAACATAAGGGAGTTTCTTATATGCTCGTGGACAGATGGTATAGCTTCTCTGCCCTGTATTTTTACTTTTCCCTTGAATAGCAAAAAAAAAATATTTTTTTTTTCAAATAGATTACAATATGCCTAATTTAGGAAGGATATAACATTGGAGTATGTCACTGAGGGGAGAATCTCTTTATGTGACCTTTTAGTTCTAAGGCATTGGAAAGTTCATGCAGTGCTACTAACACCAAAAGAAACTGGAGAACTCAACAAGGTAACTACAGGCTCAGAACTAAAGGATGAGAAAAAACTGCCCAGGCTAGAGGTTCCAGATCTTCAATTCATTCAGGTATGATTCAATTTGGGAGGAATCCAAGCCACTAGGAGTCACTACCACTAGACTAGGCCTATCAAATCCACTGCAAAAAACCAGATGACCACTACAAGGCAGGCATTGGAATTTCTGTATCTCTCTGCTGCCATCTAGAGGTCACCTGGAATTCTGCAGGCCACATGTGGTAGTCCTGCCATAATTTGCTTTTTTCCCTCTGTCTTAATGGCAATATCAAGATGGCAGCTGTTTGGGGTGGTCAGAGGTTTCCTTCACCTGCCTGCAATTCCAAATAAGGCAGTGCCACATTTTGACAACTAAAAAAACTAATCAGGCGCCAAATTATGAAGCTCTAAGAACAGGTGCTACTGACCAGAGCGCGGTGCTTGCCAGTACAGGCAGTCCTTGACTTATGACCGCAATTGAAACCAACATTTATATTGCTAAGTGAGACAGCTGTTAAGTGGGTTTTGCCCCGTTTTACGACCTTTCTCATCATAATTGTTAAATGAATCACTGCAATTGTTTTCTAACCTGGTTATTAAGTGAATGTGGCTTCCTGGTTGACTTTGCTTGTCACAAGTTCGCAAAAGGTGATCACATGACCCTGGGACACTGCAACCATCATATAAATATGAACCAGTTGCCAATTGTCTGAATTTTGGTCACATGACCACGGGGGGGTGCTGTAATGGTCGCAAGTGTGAAAAACGGTCATAAGTTCCTTTTTTTTAGTTCTGCTGTAACTTTGAACAGTCACTAAATGAACTGTTGTAAGTTGAGGACTACCTGTACTTAATTCTAAAAGTGTTGTGAGTAACAGAATTAGAGAACCTATCTCCCAACCAGCATGTAATAGTTTAGTCTTTCCTCCAGTACTATCTACTCTTTCGTCCTCTACTCCAGATTTGGGTGAAAACTAGTTTGGAATCTCTAAGCAAATGCAGATAATTATTTGCTGTAGGTCTGAGAAGATTTCAGTTATATCAATGAAAAAACTAATTCCCAGATTAAGCCTAGAACAGAGGTCCCCAACCTCAGCTCTGTGGACCAGTACCGGGCCACGGCATGCCAGCAACCGGTCCGCACAAACAAGCAGAGCCCCATCCACAGGATGCAGGCAGCACACAAAACCACGCACTCTCCGGTCCGGGGAAAAACCTCTCGCCGTGGAACCGGTCCCTGGTGCCCAAAAGGTTGGCGACCTCTGGCCTAGAAGATGTAAGCACAAATGCTCTTCTCATATTTCCTATCAAACCATGTATGCGTTAGAAAATTTACTTCAGTATGTTGTCTGCCCAACTCCCGTGGACTCTGGTTGATATAAAAAAATTGAAGGTTTTATACACATATAAAAATATAAAAACTGCTAAAAATATTTGGGGACACATGAAATTGGTTTTTCTGATTGTCCAAGGAAGGAGAGATATTCCAACCATTTCTCAAGGAAGAATTTCCCTTAGCAATAATAGCATCATGGATAAAAGGGCCCTGATACAGAAGTTGCTTCCTGATGTCTTCACCTGGCATTTAATTGACATTTGGAAAGCTAGAAGCTTAGGTTTGCTAGAGACACGATAATCCAGTGAAAAACAGGGCATTCACCCACATGTGTTTGCTACATCTCAATTGAAGGAGTGCAAAAACACCAAACCCTACAAGTGGGAAGTTTTTCAAAAAAATCTTTTCTCTTTTGGAATGATTCCTAAATCATGTTTATATCAGATGGATGAGGCAGTAGAAGAGGCGTTTACAAATCCAGAATTTTTCTTCCCAGGTGTGTAATCTCCTGCAACGCCTTTAAATGTTTCACTATAGTTGGCAGATCGTGTTGGATCTAATAAAAAAGAAAAGCTAATCACCCATACTTGAAGATTGCCTATCTTGCCTTAGTTCCCCCCACCAATAAAAAGTAACCCGGATATTATACTGGTAAATGTCAAAAGAGTTAATGCCACTTTACCAATACCCTCTAAAATTCCTGAGATAGCTATCAGCACCTTTTTTTTTTAAATGTAAATTGGAATTACCAGAGCATCTTTGCATTACAAGTAGTCCTCGACGTACGACCACAATTTGAGCACAAAATTTCTGTGGCTGAGACATTTGTTAATTGAGTTTTGTCCCATGTTGTTAAGTGAATCACTGCAGTGGATAAGCTGGCAACCTGGTTGTTAAGTGAATCTGGGTTCCCCGTTGACTTTGCTTGTTAGAACGTCACGAAAGGCGATCACGTGACCCCAGGACATTGCAGCCGTCATAAATATGAGACAGTTGCCAAGTGCCTGAATTTTGATCACAGGACCCTGGGGATGCTGCAACAGCCGTAAGTGTAAAAAACAGACATGTCACTTTTTTCAGTGCTGTTGTAACTTTGAACAGTCACTAAATGAGCCATTGTAAGTCAAGGACTACCTGTATCAGCTGGAAGCTAGCTTTATCTAGAAGAGGGAGGTCCAACCTTGGCAACTTTAAGACCTGTGGACTTTAACTCCCAGAATTCCCCAACCAGCATAGGGAATATCATAGCAGTAGGCAACCTTGGCTCTTTTATGACTCGTAGACTTCAACTCCCAGAATTCCTGAGCCAGCATAGCTGGGAGTTGAAGTCCACGAGTCATAAAAGAGCCAAGGTTGCCTACCCCTGTGATAGGGGATAGAAAATAAAATCAGTGTGCAAAGAGTTTGTGTTTTCGTGGTACAGTTGAAAAACAACAGTCTCCTACCTAAAGCATTGCTAGGAACTTAACTGATCTTTTCTCTAATTTTTTTTTGGGGGGGGGGGGGAACAGCTTCTCCACGAAGGGCAACTTTCTCAATTGTGGCAAGGAACCTTCGGCCAGCAACCTGTGGCCATCAAGACATTTCCTCCTTTGTGCCACCAACAATTTGCATCTGAGTGGGCCGTGTACAGCCTCCCGTTGATGAACCATGAAAATGTGGCACGCCTTGTGACTGCTGGATATGGGGGACCCAGTGAAGAACAAGGTGGTCTCCTGGTACTGACACTGTACCCATTGGTAAGAGCCATGGGCAAGAATGAGTGAAAGTGATTGAGGTTAGATGTTAAAAAATAAAAGTGGCCTTGTATATGTCTGTATGCAGAGAGTTAGTTTGGTCTAGTCAGTGGATAAGACACCAGGCTAGAAAGAGGGAGACTGGGAGTTCTAGTCCCACCTTAGCCATGAAAGCCAGCTGGGTGATTTTAGGCCAGTCACTCTTTCTCAACCCAACCAACTTCACAGGGTTGTTGTTGTGGGGAAAATAGGAGGAGAGAGATATATTGGATTGTTCATTCCCTTGAGTAATTTGTAAAAAGAATAAAAGTAGGATACAAATAAATAAATAAATAGAATAAATAAAAATTAAACATGCTAGCTTTCACCAGTGTATACCAAGGCATTCTTTCTAGCCTGTAATGTATTCCTGTCATTATAATCACAGCACAATCAAGAATAGATGGATAGTACTAAATTGACTGCATTGATTAAAGAAAAGAATAGAATTAATTTTGTTTCTACTTGGAAAGCACTTTTGGGCTTTGTGCTTGAGGTAGAAAAAAAATGAAACTTTGATTCTGCCGATTAGATAGGTTTGTTGTTGTAGTATATAGGCTAGTCTGTATTATTATGTAAAAGTAAAAAGTCGAGGTTATATGTTATTATCTTATTCTAGAGCACCAAATGGAGTCAAAAGTCAATGCTTCCCCCCCCTTTATCCTATATTTTTTCCTCTTCCCCCTTTCCTCCCTTTTTACTATTATTTTCATTTTTCTTTGTATCTCTGTATATTTTGATAAACTAATACTGAAAATAAAAATATGTGCATTTTGAAAATAAACAAGAAAACAGTTAAGCTTCAAAAAAAAAAAAAGAATAGAAGGATGGTTTACTTTTTGCCCTGGATGTTACAGATGTGGAATCTGTAGGCGTAAATTCAACTTTTCTGGATTCTCAGATTGCTGGGGTTGTGGTTTTTTTTGTGTGACGAAGAGTACATTTCTACATCTTAAGGCTTTGCTGAAGTATTATGAAACAGGATTTGTTTTTCAGCTCTATTTCCAAATTATGTCATATAGCAGAGTGGGATGATGGGGATGTGAAGGAATTGTTAATTGCTAAACCAGCTTAAGTAGGCAGCAGTATAATATTACAATAACACATTTAATAAGTAAATAAGATATGAAAATCTGAGCCATCCCCCAAATGCTTAATAAGAACCAGATGGTCATGGTTTGCAGTTCCTCTCCCTACAATCCAGGAATTTCCATTCCTATTCATTCTTCAATAGCAATAGCCCTCAGACTTTATAGTGCTTTACAGCCCTCTCTAAGCAGTTTACAGAGTCAGCATATGGCCCCCCCAACAATCTGGTTTTTACTGACGGAAGGATGAGTCAACCTTGAACTGGTCAGGATCGAACTCCTGGCAGTGAGCTGAGTTAGCCTGTAATACTGTATAATATAAACAAATAACCCTAGAATCAAATAAAATAAACTTAGTCAATATCTAAGGAGCTGCCCTAAAGAAGAAGGGATCAACCTATTATTATTATTATTATTATTAATAATAATAATAATAATAATAATAATAATAATAATAATAATAATAATAATAATAATAATAATAATAATAATAAAAAAGTTGGAAGGGACCTCGGAGGTCATCGAGTCCAACCCCCTGCTCAGGCAGGAAACCCTATACCATTTCGGACAAATGGCTGTCCAGTCTCTTCTTAAAAACTTCCAGTGTTGGCGCATTCACCGCTTCTGGAGGCAGGTTGTTCCACTGATTAATTGTTCTAACTGTCAGGAAGTTTCTCCTAAGTTCTAAGTTGCTTCTCTCTTTGGTTAGTTTCCACCCGTTGCTTCTTGTCCTGCCTCAAGCACCTGAAGGCAGGACAAGAAGCAATAGATGGAAACTAATCAAGGAGAGAGTCAACTTGGAACTAAGGAGAAATTTCCTTAGAACAATTAATCAGTGGGAAGACGTGCCTCCAGAAGTTGTAGGTGCTCCAACGCTGCAAGCACCTACATCTTAAAGAGATTGGACAACCATTTGTCTGAAATGGTATAGGGCAAGGGTAGACAACCTCAGCTCTTTTATGACTCGTGGACTTCAACTTCTGGGAGTTGAAGTCCACGAGTCATAAAAGAGCCAAGGTTGCCTACCCCTGGTATAGGGTTTCTTGCCTGAGCAGAGGGTTGGACCAGAAGACCTCCAAGGTCCCTTCCAACTCTGCTATTCTGTTATTCTGTAAATCTATGTCTATAATAATGATATCCTCAACTGCAATTAATACTGATAGAATTTCTAGTTTTCTCTTTTTATCCTCAATACTTTAAGCTTTCTAGATAACAGTATGGGGAGCTGTGGTGGCGCAGTGGTTATAACTTCTGTATAACTTCTGCTGACTGCCGGCTGCCAGCAATTTGGCAGTTCGAGTCTCACTGGCTCAAGATTGATTCAGCCTTCCATCTTTCCGAGGTTGGTAAAATGAGGACTCAGATTGTTGGGGGCAATAGGCTGACTCTGTAAACCGCTTAAACAGGGCTGATAAAGCACAGTGAAGCGGTATATAAGTCTAAGTGTTATTGCTATTCTATTTATAAATTTTAAGCGTAGTACATAACTATTGCTGCACTGAAGTCTGCATTGAAGTAATACAACCTATCAAGATTTATAACAGAATAATGGACAAGAAGCAACGGATGGAAACTAATCAAGGAGAGAAGCAACCTAGAACTAAGGAGAAACTTCCTGACAGTTAGAACAATTAACCAGTGGAACAACCTGCCTCCAGAAGCTGTGAATGCTCCAACACTGGAAGTTTTCAAGAAGAGACTGGACAGCCATTTGTCTAAAATGGTATAGGGTTTCCTGCCTGAGCAAGGGAGTTGGACTAGATGTTCTCCAGGGTCCCTTCCAACTTTATTATTATTATAAACATTATTATTATTAAAAAGAAGAAAAACTGTACCTGGCCATCAGAGGAGCCTATTATCCAAAATTATTCTGCCAGTTTGCTTAATCCAGACACATCCTTCACCATAGCCATTAAAAGATGAATGCTGATGTCAACCATCTTGTATTTGGGCCTAAACTGAGTTAATTGCATTTTCTTGAAAGGGATCCCTACGGAACTTCCTCAGCCAGCACATTTGCTCCTGGGAGATCAGCATCCGGCTTGGATCATCCCTTGCCAGTGGCCTTGCTTTCTTACATGAGGAGAAATGGAAGGAAGGTAGGACACCAAGAATATCCAACAGGAAGCCACAGAATGATCTGTGTCCTGCAGACTTCCTGATGGACCACTGAGGCACCATCAGGGGATGGAGCTGACTGTGTATCGTCTACAGGTAGTATCCCATCTGCAGGGTATCCCCATTGTCAAACCCACCCAGATGAGGGAACTACCAAGATGTTAGTACAGGTAGTCCTCAACTACCTGTATTGAAAAGGTATTGAAAAAAATGACTTATGACTGTTTTTCAAACTTATAACCCCTGCAGCATCCCCACGGTTACCTGAGGAAAATTCAGATTCTTAACAACTGATGCATATTTATGACAGCTGCAGTGTCCTGGGGGTGATGTGATCCCCTTTTGTAACCTTCTGACAAGCAAAGTCAATGGGGAATCCAGTTTCACTTAACAATCCTGTTACCAACTTAACAACTGCAGTAATTCACTTAACAACTGTGGCAAGAAAGGTCATAAAATGGGGCCAAACCCACTTAATAACTGTCTTGCTTAGCAACATAAGTTTTGGGCTCAATTATCGTTGTAAGTTGAGGACTACCTGTGTTTATAAAATCCTCAATTCAATACGTAAATGTTATATTCGACTGAGGATTTTATAATGAAAGAGGGAACAGCAACTGCAGGGAAGAGCTCTTTTTTATATATATTACTCGGGGGGGGGGGTGTCATGGGAGAAGGAACAAATAAGAAAACAGCAATTTTATAATAAGAAATAAGCCAAGAGCACAGGTACAGTATAGGTCAGTGGTGGCGAACCTATGGCACGCGTGCCAGAGGCAGCACTCAGAGCCCTCTCTTTGGGCACGCGCGCCATGCCCCAGAGATGGCAACTGTCCCTCTTCAACCAGCCGCCCGCTAACTCGGCGAGGTCCCACGTGGCTGGATACATCCCAGCACCCATGCGCTCGCTGGCCTCTGTGTGCAGGGGCCGATGGTGTCAGGCAGCAGCCACCCCGGCCCCTGCCTCACCTTGCCCTGTGACAATGGCACCCCTGCCCTGCCTCGCCTCACCCTGCAGGACGAGCTTTCTGCCCACCGCCCCACCTGCCAGAGACCCCCTGGATCTCCCCCAACCCTGCCCGGCCCCCACAGGCGTCCCTCCCCACGAGCAACATTGAGGTGATCACGCCCACCTTGGCCACACCCACCCAATCTGCTATGACCACCACAGCCACGCCCATCCAGTGGGCCACGCCCACCTGGCACCCGGCAATAAATAAGTGGGTTTTGGGTTGCAGTTTGGGCACTCGGTCTCTAAAAGGTTCGCCATCACTGGTATAGGTAATCCTCGAATTTAAAACCACAAATCCCCTGCCTGATGTCTTTTAAGTGGAAATATCTGGGCTTGAACCTTATGAATGGAAAATACCTGACCTTCAGTTGTTAACCCATTTAAGCTCTTTTTAGCTTGATTCTGCTGACATACCACAGCAGAGGCCCCCAAACTTTTGGGCACCAGGGACTGGTTCCATGGAGAGAGGTTTTTCTGCGGACCAGAGGGGGCGTGGTTTCATGTGCTGCCTGCATCCTGCAGATGGGGCTTCGCTTATTTGCACGGCCCGGTACCGGTCCGCGGACCAGGGGTTGGGGACCCCTGTACTACAGTATGCCATAATCTGGTTTATGAAATTTTTACTTACTAAGCGATACTAGGCATTATAGATTTTAACCAAACTTTCCTCACAATGCAGTTTCTTCTCATGATTCAGTAAGCCGTGTTTAAACACACAATGGTGTGATGGGTGAATTCAGTCTTTCTTTCTCCACTCTAACTGCCCTCTTCGTGGTTTAATAAGGTGGCACATGATTAAGGTGACAACTTCGTTGAAACTTGTTATTCTTCCATGATGTCAGGCCTGCATAAACCTGGGGTAGCCCATCGTGACCTAAGTAGCCAGAATGTGTTGGTGCGGGAAGACAGGACTTGCGTCATAACTGATTTTGGCTTTGCCATGACACTCCCTCTGCGACACCAGCAGTCAGGAAAAGGTCCTGCAGAAGCCATCGTGCACAAGGTACCATAGATGACATAGGAAATTCAAAAGAGATGCAAATTGTTTAAAATGTGATCAATACTTCTTTTTAAATGAATGTACTTACATTGAACTTCAAGCTCCAGGCATCTAATATAAAAAAACCTCATAAAATGATAACAATCATCACAACACGGTTCAGTCAATAATGACAACAAGAGATTATCCTATGATATTTATTCCAGTAGAGATGCAGAATCAGCATATCTGATTCCAGCAACTCATTTGAGATATCACTGTGTCCTGGTAGTATCATATAGTATTTAGACTTACCTACTGCTTCACGGTGCTTTACAGCCCTAAGAGGTTTACAGAGTCAGGATACTGCCCCCAACAATCTAGGTCCTCATTTTACGGACCTCGGAAGAATGAAAGGCTGAGTCAACCTTGAGCCCGTCAGGATCGAACTGCTGGAAGTTGGCAGAGTCAGCCTGCAATACTACATTCTAACTACTGCACCACTATGGCGGTCCCTCCCTCCCTCCCTCCCTCTCTCTCTCTCTCTCTCTCTCTCTCCCTCTCTCTCTCTCATATTGTACTGTTTTGAGATGGGCTATATAAAATTTGGGCATAACAAGTACTTGCTCCAAGCAGGCATTATACATAAGCTGCCTGCATCTTTCATTGGCATTTTCTCTAGGCAGGAGCTCAACGCTACATAGCTCCCGAAATTTTGGACGAGAACCTGAATCTGCAGGATGTGGGCTCTTCACTGAGGCAAGCTGATGTCTATTCCCTGGCACTGGTACTGTGGGAGATCCTGATGAGATGCTCTGCGCTTTTCCCAGGTAAACCATCATGGAATTCCATAAATCCCAGCCTGCATGGCCAAAAGCCTTGGCTGAGAATTACAGGAGCTGATGTCCAGTCGGTTTGCCTTTGCAACCATTAAATTGCCAAGGTCCCTTCCAAAGAATGCTGGGAAGTGTAGCTTGATGAGAATTCTCAGCTCCCACAATGGGCTGGCTGTAAGGAAAAGACTAAACTGGAACCTGCTGTTTGTGCCAAAAGCAATTGTGATTTACGTAGAAGAGAAATCCTGTCCAATGTTTTAGGGAAAGATCCCTAAAACGTGTGCAGCACAACAGAAGGAGGGAGCCACTATAACGAAAGCTTTAGGGCAAGCTGGAAGAAATTATGCAAACTATCATTGCTCATATCTCTTTATTCTCATTGTTAGTTATCTTGTATAGAAAGGTGGGATGTGTGTGTGTGTGTGTGTGTGTGTGTGTGTGTGTGTGTGTTTGAATTTTCTATTATAGTAAAAACAATATGGTCATGGAGAAAATGTATCTATAAGCACATAATCAGTAAAAAAAAACAACTCCTACAAGGATATATCTATGAGGATAACAGGAATTAAGTCCAACTTGAGATTTTCTCTATGTCATGGTAAAGTATATTCTTAATTTCGAAAGACCACGGATGAATGCAGAAGTGTCCTTTGAAGAACAGAGAGGATGAACTCCTTCCTTCCTTATTCTTAGAAAGCTCAGAATGCCAAACTTTTCTCTATTAAACTAGTAATAAAGCAACTTAAAGCAAGGTTCTAAGTTCTTTGAATCATTCCCCCAATGTTAAATTTCTTCTCTTACTGCTTGCCATACCATTGCATCACATTCTATCCCTTTTTGGTATCATTATGGTGATTATTATTACTCTGCTGCTTTGCATGTACCTTGAGAGCTTCTGCACTGGAGACAAATTCTTTGTGTGTCCATTTACATGGCCAATAAAGAATTCTATATTCTGTTCCGTTCCGTTCCATTCCATTCCATTCCATTCTATTCTATTCTATTCTATTCTATTCTATTCTATTCTATTCTATTCTATACTCTGCACACGGAAATAGACACATATAGTTTACATATGGTACAAAATCATGGCTTGTTCAGCCATACTTTTTAGAGTACAGCACAAATTCCTGGATCCAAACAATACAGTAATCATATACCATGCTTTACTAAGAATGAGATTGGGCAGCATGATGTTTGAACCCAAACTCAGAGTCTTAAGAGATAAGGTTGCAGGGAAAGGGAGGCAGCAGACAAAGGAAAATATGAGGGCCTTTTGCTGTTTACCTTTTAATTGTTTCTACTGTTCAGCCAAGCAGTGCAGCCGGCAAAGGGAGATTTAAATCTCCTGCAAACCTTACTCGGCTAAGCAGCAGAAAAACAGTTCTCCCTGTCATCATCTTTTAGCTTCGTGTTTTTTAAAACTTAAACTTAATTAAACTTAATTCATTCTACCCACCTTAAAGTTAGCAAGTTTGAAAAACCTTGTTTTTAGCTGCTCAGTCAAATAACCAGAAAGTAGCAGAGAAATAAGGCGGCAGGTCCAGAGTGGGTAATTCTTGGGCAGATGGGCGTGAGAGATTGTGGGGAGGTTGGGAAAGAAAAAGATTGGAAAGGAGACCTAAACAATCAAGAAACAGAAGGCTATTCAGTTGGCAGCTTATCTTGTAAACAGCAGCTTAGTCCAGGTGGCCAGGAAACAGGGGGAGAAAGCATTGCAAAGCCTTCAAAGAGACTCTGCCTGAATGTATTCACTTCCACCGAGGGGGGGAAATTCCTCTCACAGTTTCCCAGATTCTGTACTTACCCAAGGTTAACATTAAATATACCTTACAGGTAGTCCTCGACTTACGACCTCAATGGAACCCCAAACTTTTGTTGCTAAGTGAGACAGTTGTTAAGTAAAGTTTGCTCCATTTTACGACCTTTCTTGCAACGGTTGTTAAGTGAATCACTGCAGTTGTTAAGTTAGTGACACAGTTGTTAAGTGAATCTGGCTTCCCTCCATTGACTTTCCCGCTCAGAAGGTCACAAAACATGATCACGTGATCCCGGGACATTGCAATTGTCATAAATAGGAACCTGTTGCCAAGCGTTTGAATTTGGATCACATGACCGGGGGGGGGACGCTGCAACGGTTGTAAGTGTGAAAAAAAGTCATAAGTCTCTTTTTTTCAGTGCCATTGTCATTTCAAACAGTCCCTAAATGAACTGTTGTAAATTGAGGACTAACCTGTACTAACATCTTGGTAGTTGACTCATCTGGGTGGGTTTGACAATGGGGATACCCATTGGATTGGATACTCTTCGTCTGTTTTGAAACACAAGACTCATTCAGTATTTTCCACCTTTCCTCATGACTTATGGACATCATTTTACTAAGTTCAGTTAAAAACTGTTTATTTCAGTTTTTGTAAGCTTGGGCTTGTGTAATGCAGAGTAGTATCCAGTTACTTTCTGTCTTCTAATGGCTTCTTTTTCAATCTTCTTCGATTTTTCCAAACATCGTGTCTTCTTCAAAGACAGTTGCGGCTTCATTATGTGCCTTAAATAAATAAACTTTAGCTTCATTGTCAGTGTTAGGGCAGACTACCCTTGTACTCCATAATGGGATCCTACACGGAGGACATAATACTCAATAAGTTTTGATTGTTCTTTTGGGGTTTATTCAAATCCCTACAGTACTAATGATATCCAATTTTCCTAATATGAAAGGTAGGGTTGATTCTTTTCTATCAAAAGGTGAGAATAGTTTTAACTTTGACTGGTGATTTTTTCCCCCCAGAAATGAGAATGTACAAACATCTGCTCATTTCTTCTAGTTAGTTTTGGGTGAGCCCTTACCATCACTCTGAAATCACATCTCATAAGATTCAGTTTGAGTGGCCTAAATAAGGTGTAGCCTCCATGGAAATTGAGGTCTTTTTTTTTCTTTTTTTTTTTAGGATCAATTCAATTACTACTACTTTTAGTAAAAAAAATGATTCATTTATTACAGGCTGTTCATAATCTTATGTATTGCATAAGGCTATCACAATGGAGGGGGGTGAGTAGGAGTCGCTCTTTGCTAATAGAGGATCTAGCAGTCAAACTGAGTTTTTATTTGTATCTGAATCCAGAACTCACCCCTGTGATTGTATCACGAGTTACCCCTAACAAATTTTGATTTCACAAATCTAGTACAGTGAGGATAAATGCATCTCCTTTGTTGTTTTGAGTGCATATGCCTTTTGAGGCAGTTGTGACGGCAGAGCTCTGCTGAGTAGGAGCAGGAGAAGGGGGGGGGATGTCCTAAAGCTCCTGTTTTTCTGCTATGGCTACAGTAGCATGTCTGAGTCCATAGTTATCTCCCCTCACCCCAGCTTCTCAGTCTCTCTTCCTGACTGAGAAGAGGTACAAAGGAGTTTGGAGATGGCCTTGAAGAATCGATCCAAGGGCCATTTTGTAAACATCAGCTTGGCTCAGATTTGGGATGCAGGCGGGAAGAAAAAGTCAAGCTAGCTGCACCTGGCTAATATAAAAAAGGAAAGAGAGACTCTCATTCAAGTTTTCAAAATTTGATTAGCATACCCTGTAATAATAATAATACAGTAGAGTTCCATTAATTCACACAGTGTCTGTTTCCTGACCAGGTCTTCCCGAAAAGAGCTGATAAGATGAGGCTACAGGGCTGGTATAGCCAACTGAGGGGACAGCTGGCTGTGGGGGAACAGCGGTTTCTCTTCCTTCCCTCCCTCCCTCCCTGCTACTTGCCTGCTGCAGCTCCTATCAAGCCCCCAGGCAGTGTTTGTTTGGTTTTTTTGCAAGATTTAAGGCAAAAGGACAGGAGGAGCGAGGTCGAGATCCAGAGCCCCTGTGCTGGCAGCCTCCAAGATGCAATCACCCTTGCCTTCGCTATTTGCCTATCCCCTACATTAGTATGCAAGTTTAAAAAGATTTTTAAAGCCTATTTTTGAGGAGTCCTTGGTGCTCTCTAAGCTTGATTTTCTTGCAGATGTTTCATTATGTAAACTGGGTAACATCATCAGTGTTGATGATGTTACCTGATTTGGGTAATTAAACATCTGCAAGGAAACAGCCAAGCTCAGAGGGCACCAAAGGACCCCTCATTTCAACCCTGAGCTACAAATATTCTTGCTAAGCCTATTTTTGTTTACTAACCGGAATCGTACCCTGTTTGTTCTGATCAATCAAGAGAAACTGTTCCGGGGTCCTGTTTGTTCTGATCAATCAAGAGAAACTGTTCCGGGGTCCTGCGCTTCTTCACAAAGGCAACCAATCCACAATGGGTGGGGTAGCCAAAAGGCTGCTGCTATCTGGTATCTTCCATTCCCGCCCATCTCCATAATCTCCCTTTGAAGGGGCACGAGAGGATCTGACTTCTGCCCTTTATCATAGTCTCTACCAGTTGGACTAATAACTGAGATCAGTTTAACATGCTGGAGTCATGAAAAGTCAAACAGCCACCCCTTGCCTGTTTGAAGCACCACACGGCAGCTTGGTCTGATTTCGGATAGTGGCAATAAGTTGTTCCTGTTTTGTTTTCCAGAAGGACGAATTTCGCCTACCTTGGAAAGCCAGTTGCGCCAAGATATAAACAGGGAGGGTGAGCCTACAGTGGTGATAATGGTGTGGGGTATGCTGCCATCTGGTGGCAATGTAGGAGCACATCCTGCCCTTGATCAACAACAAACGCTGACATGTTCAGCTTGAAAGAATAAAGCAGAACTGTTGACTTCCGGGGTGGGATTATATGATCTTAGTCCTACTGAACTCAGCCTCCTCCTGGTTCCTTTCCTCTTTCCCTTCTTCAGACTTTGTGTGCCCTTTTAAATCACTTGAGACAAAAGGCTTCTGTTGCTTTGAGACATCATTTCCCGCAGTACTGTGACTCATCCCTGTACAATGAGAAGGAGTCATTGATGGAGCAGCATGAGCTAGAGCAGCCCAGCCTCCCTGGGCATCAGCCAGGCCCCCAGTCACCTAGCAAGACCCATTGCTAAAGAGAAAAGATTGCTGAAGGAGGAAAATATTGCATTGTCCAAGTCAATACGTTGGAGCTTCTATCCAGGGAATGGGCAGTGTCCTCCAAGCAGAAGGTTTTTTTTTTCTCTTAAAGAGTAGAGGCTGGATTGGAATACACCAGCTGAGCATGTGTTACTGAGAGGCCACTAACATTTAATAGAAGTATGCGTCTGCAATACGAAAGTTTTTATCCCTCTACACCAGCGGTTCTCAACCTATGGGTCGCGACCCCATTTGGGGTCGATCGACTATTTCACGGGGGTCGCCAAGCAAGGCTGTCCGCCATTTTTTTTCCCTTTTCCGGTGGGTGCCTTACCTCCCTTGGGCTGGGCCAGCTGGTGGTCGGCCTGCTCCGTCTCTGCCACTTGCCAGCTACGCCTCGGCCGGGGCAGGGGGCGGAACCACGCATGCGCGGCGCTCCTGGGCAGGGAAAGTCCTTGACTTATGACCGGTTGGGTAGTCCTCGACTTACGACCGGTTTAGTCCTCGACTTATGACCGGTTTAGTCCTCGACTTACGACCGGTTGGGGGTCGCGGCATTAAAAAGGTTGAGAACCACTGCTCTACACAGCACTGTTGCTCAACCTTGTCAACTTTCAGATATGTGGACTTCAACTCCCAGAATTCCCCAGTCAGCATACTGGAAGTTTAATTCCTCAAGTTTTAAAATTGACAAGGTTGAGAAACATTGCTTGCTCCACAGCAGGCATGTCAAACTCGCAACGTCATGTGACGTCGCGCGACGTATCGGAGCTTTTTTGCCATTGCCGGCAATGGGGTGGGCGCGTCTCCAGTATGATGAAACCAGCCCGCGGGCCAGCAGTTTCACACCCCTGCTCTACAGGTAAACCGAAGAACTACACATTTTTTGAGACTAAGGACCATCTTTGCCCTCAGCAATAAATGCAAGGCTCAACCCCCAAAAGCTGACAGGATGAAAACAGGCAGCAACACACTAAAGATTCCTTTTGCTTTAATGACTCCTATGAATCGCTTTCTCTTGATAATACTGTATTCAGTACAAGCATAAAAGGATAGCTGATCTGTGCAGGAAAACCTTTCCTTCTGTGAACCGACTCAGTGGGTGTCAATGACCACTAATACCAGGGCAACGTCCTGGGTCTCCCTTTACAGGTAGTCCTCAACTTACAACAGTTCATTTAGTGGCCGTTCTAAGTTACAATGGTTTTACACTGACAACTGTTGCAGCATCCCCACAGTAAGGTGACCAAAATTCAGACGCTTGGCAACTGGTTCATATTTATGACGGTTGCAGTGTCTTGGGGGGGGGGTCATGTGATCCCCTTTTGTGACCTTTGGGCAAGCAAAGTCAGTGGGTAAGCCAGATTCGCTTAACAACCATGCTACTAACTTGGTCACTCACTTCACAGCTGTGGCAAGAAAAGTGGTAAAATGGAGCAAAATTCACTTAACAACTCACCAAAAATTCACAGCTGTTTCGTTTAACAACCGAAATTTTGGGCTCAGTTGTGGTAAGTCAGGGGTCCTCAAACTTGGCCCTTTTATGACTTGTGGACTTCAACTCCCAGAATTCCTCAGCCAGGCACGTGTGGGGTTCTGGGAGTTCAAGTCCACAAGTCATAAAAGGGCCAAGTTTGAAGACCCCTGTCGTAAGCGAAGGACTACCTGTACTAATAGATTGGGACTCTGAGCTCAGGGACAACCACTGTCCAGCGATGCAGCAATCACTTGGAAGTGAAACTTCGTTATGGAATGGGTACTGTGAAGTGTGAAGAAGTCAGCTGAAGCAATACTTCGCTGTTCCTGCACTGGATATGTTTGGCACACACACACAAGCCCTGCTTTAGTAAGACAGCCCATTTTTGTCTCTTCAGAGAACAGCGTTCCTGCATTCCAGCTTGCCTATGAAGCAGAATTAGGTAGCAGCCCTACATACAGTGAACTGCGAAGGTTGGCTGTTGAGGAAAGGCGAAGACCAATTGTCCCACCAGCTTGGACAAGATTTGGGCAAGTATGTTAAGCCACAACATACATAGGCTTGAATACGGGGCAGTAGGCTTTTGACAACATGTTGGAAGCCACACTCCTAAAGAGGATGGACCGGGAGTTGATTTTAAGAAATATAATGGGTCCCTTAAGCCCTGCAAGGCTAAGGGAACACAGCTTGTGCCTTAGCCCTGCCTCTCTGCCAAAAAAAGAAAAAAGGAGAGAACATTAGTTGAAAAGTTGGCCCTGTCAGTTCTGGAGGCCACAGATAGGATACCTGTATTTGGCTCTTGGGCAATATTTTTCCTGAGAAGCTGAGGAGAACAAAAATGCTGCACGGCTGATGGAGATTTGGGGCTATTAATTGAGAGGTGGACATAGGCAAGAGCCCTGAGGCCCTTTGGCTCTTACGCCAGCACAACAAAACCTTGGACCCAGTCTAGATGCAGTAAAAGGAATGGAAGGGATTAATATATGCTTCTAACATCTGGGATTTTAGATTTTAAGAATCTATGATACTCTAAGGCAGGGCTTTTCAACCTTTTCACCCATTGTACCACTTTTAGGATATGGCACCACTAGTCGCCCAGCAAGGTGTCAAAAACTTGATGACCAAAAAAAAAAAAAGGGAAAAAAGTGATTAAGTACAGGTAGTCCTCGACTTACAACAGTTCGCTTAGTGACTGTTTGAAGTTACAGTGGCACTGGAAAAAGTGCCCCCCCAAGCCACAGCCGAGCAAGACACCTGCCTGCCCGCCCAGCTGTGCTCTTCCTCCTGTCCGAGGTTTTCATTGTTGTGAGCATTTCTGTTGAGTATTGGCAGCGGGGGTGGAGTGGAGGGTATTTGGTTTTTATTCCCCCTGTCTGCTGGGTGCTTGCAGCAGGTTTTGGTCATTTCACATAACCCTGGGACACTGTGACCGTCATAAATATGAATCAGTTGCCAAGCATCTGAATGTAAATCACAAGACCCTGGAGATGTTGCAATATTCCAGCTGATCGGCGCTTCTTCAGGGCTTAGCAGAAGCGCAAGGATCAGCACCAAGCTCCAGCTGGATCCTGGCACTGATCCTGGCGCTTCCACTGAGGCCTGACAGTCCCGAAGAAGTGTCGATCAGATGGAAAGCGGCACTGATCCTGGTGCTTCCGCTGAGCCCTGCAGCTCCAGCCATCTCTCGCTCAGGCTTGTGCAGTGCGGTTCAGCTCATTCCCCTCCCTTGCTACCACTTTTCTAGGGTGGTCGCGTACCACCTGCCAGGTGTCAATGTACCACAGGTGGTACCCGTACCACTGGTTGAAAAGCCCTGCTCTAAGGCAGGGATGGGGAACTATGGCCCTTTTATGACCTGTGGACTTCAACTCCCAGAATTCCTGAGCCAGGATCAAGCTCTTATGAGAACTTTAATGGAATTTTAAGTGAAAGGCAAGAGGGGAGCTCAGTGGACAGAACCATAATCTTTTAATGGCAGCAAGGAGAATAGAAGTTGAATCTGGATCCACTGGTAGAACTCTGGGTATTTTACATTAGTTCGTTAAGAATTTAATTCCCTATTTATTAGTGGCAGGAGAAACAAAATAACTCCCTTGACTCGTGCTAAAAATAGTTGAAATAGAAAGAGCTTGGAGTAACCAACAAAGATTTTGCTTTGAAAGGAGGGTTCTTGTACACTCAACGAAACTCTAGTTTCAGAATTGTAGGTCTCTTTGCAGCGGGGTGGATGTCAAGGTTCAAAAATTAGCTTCCTCAAGTGCAAAGTCTGCCTCGCTATGAAATCAGGATTCATTTGTATTAGAGATGGGGGTCTTACTAGAATGACTAGGCGCAAAAGCCCTGTCGAAATTCCTTATTCCAGATACAGGAGGAGGGGTGTCATTCCTTATTTGCACCCCAGGTCCCCTCTCCTGCAACAGCTTTTGCTGTGCCTTTCAAATACATAGGATTCCCAGGGTTTCATCAGCACTGGCTGGGAAGGATGCAAACAGAAGTTCGGAACATTCTAGAATAAGATGTTAAGGGAGGAAGTTAAATATGAGACAACAGTGTGTGGCAGCAGCCAAAAAAGCCAATGCAATCCTAGGCTGCATTAATAGATAGAATCAAGACCACATGAAGTATTAGTATTGCTTTATAAAGCCTTAATAAGACCACACTTGGAATACTGCATCCAGTTTTGGCCACCACAGTATAAGAAAGATGTTGAGGCTCTGGAAAGAGTGCAGGGAAGAGCAACAAAGATGATTAGAGGGCTGGAGGCTAAAACATATGAAGAATGGTTGCAGGAATTGGGTGTATCTAGTCTACTGAAAAGAAAGATTAGGGGAGACATGATAGCAGTATTCCAGTATTTGAGAGGCTGCCATAAAGCACCAGAAGGCAAGACAAGAAAAAAATGGATGAAAACTAATCAAGGAGAGAAGCAACCTAGAACTAAGGAGAAATTTCCTAACGGTGAGAACAGCTTGCTTTCAGAAGTTGTGGGTGCTCCATAACTGGAGGCTTTTAAGAAGAGACTGGACAGCCATTTGTCTGAAATGGTGTAGGGTTTCCTGCTTGGGGTTGCACTGACTAGAAGACCTCCAAGGTCCCTTCTAACTCTGCTATTTATGTTCTAAATCTTCTAGTAGGAGTTCCTGTTGTCTCTTCTTCACAATTGCTGTTCCACCTTCTCTCTCCTGTCCCCCAGGTAGCTATTTCCTTGCAAGAGCTCCTGGAAGACTGTTGGGACCCTGAACCAGAGGCTCGTCTGCAAGCCGAGTGTGCCCTGCAAAGGCTGCAAAGGCTGGGCACTGAGGATCTGGTGAAAGAGTACTGAGGTCAAAGCATTTTAGGCTTTCCACTCAGATTTGCTTGGACATCTTTGCTTAGAAGAACTTTATGTTTGGCTGAGAACAGCAAGAGGCGTTTAAGAGAAGTCCATCCAGGTCCATTTTCTCAATAGGACCCTACTGGGACATTGTCAGTGTGGATGCATTTTCGTAACTGCTATCCACTAAATCAACTTGATTTGCATTTGTTAACTACTGTTGTGGGGGGGAGATCCTATACCAAACCTTTGTAGGAAGTCAGCATCCCCCCCTCTCCAGAGAATGAAATATTTTTGGCGGATATTAAAAGAGGCAGAATATTATATTTCCCCAAAGGAATAATAGAGAAAAATCTTAAAAGGCAGAAACCAGTCCCCCTACCCCAAGTGGAAATTCAGGAGGCCAGCTCTTTAGAAATGCAGATTTGGGGCACACCATTCATAAGCAAACCGCCTTCAGCCTCCACAGCTCATGGGATTAGGAATTTACATTCCCCCACCCAAAATCTAAAGAACATGACCTTTAGGACATAATAGGATTAATCCTAAACCCTCTTCAGACTGAGCAAAAGACACAAAAGCCCACCTCATTGCACAACCCAGAAACATTTTCACTTCAAAGTCTCAGAGCCCTATAAAGATCCATCCACTCTCAACTCCATTGGGCAGCTGTTCCAGAACTGCTGGTGGTTCTGCTCATCAATAAATTGAAATCTTCTTTCTAGGCAGCCTCCATTTTTATTTCCAGCATCTTAGCCTCCATTTTATTTACCCCCAGCTTGGAACTGGATCTGATGGTTTTTCTTTCAACACCTTTGACCCTGGAATTTTCATAATTTCAGTTCCTCTTTCTGGAACCTTAAGCACCCTTTCTTCAAAAAAATAACTCCCAGTGAACCCAACGGGACATTTCTGAATAGATACTATATGCATGGTTTACAGCATGGGTTGCCCGGATGCAAAAATTAGTTTTAGGTGAAGAATTCAGATTCCTAAGAAAGACTCTTATCTGGAATTGCTGAGAATTATGGAGGCGCAGCCCAACACATCTAAAAGTCATACAATTGGAAAATATTGTTTTATTCTCTTCCACTGGGAAAAAAAATTCATTCTTCTGCCTGCATCCAGCTCAATGCCTCTACACCTTCTTTTTGCAATAATTTGTTACAAAAAATTTGTTCAAGATTGTTTAGGATTATATGTCCTAATTGATAGAGGGACAGTCATTAATTTGATGCATTTTTGGTCTGATGGGCTGTCCAGTCTATGCCTGTTTTAAAGGGAGAGAAGGAGAGAAGAGGGTCTTTAAGCAGACCATCCAGAGGGAGACTGGAAGGGAATCAAATCACCTGGTCACCTCTTATATTTGTACTATATCTGTAAATCTTTTTTCTTTCACCCAGGTTTATAAAGAAGCACATTCAGGCATGTATATTTCTTAACTCTTTTGTTGTTTGGGGATCTTTTTTTTTTTCTTTTTTGCCATGTATTCTTTTGCGGTTCCTTCTCTTTTCTTTCCTATTTTATCTAGCTTTTGTATTAAAAATAAAAACTTCAGCCAAGGCTGTTTTTAGTTTATTTTTATCTCTCCAGAATGTAATCTGAGGTCAGTGTTGAACAAATATATCACTAGTAATCTAGGATTTACATTGATTTAAAACAAGCATATCCCTCGCTGCCATTAAGATGCTCACAAGAAGACAACAACAACATAAGTGTGTCAATTTTAACACAAAAACCATAATAAAAACAATCATGAAAAACAAAACAAAAAACCATTTAAAAAAAATAAAAATTAGGAAATTTATGACATTCACAATTTGATAAATCAGTCGGTGAAAGAGTGGTAGGAAGGGGATGAAGGAATTCCTCCGGGAACCCGTCCTCATTCCAGATAACTACCAGTTCCATAATTCCTAGCCAGGTTTAGGGAATACACTAAGTTGGGAGTGTTTTTCCATATCCTAGTTAAAGACAAGAGAGCCAATGGAATGGAGAGGTTCATATATTCAAGATGGGATGGGGAGACACGTTTAACCAACTGAGGTTACTCAACAGGGCAGCTGTGATGGAGCCTTTGAGAATCCAGAGATAGAGAGAGAATAAATGAAATGAACAGAATTCAAATATGTAACAGGGGTAGGCAACTTTGGCTTCTTTTATGACTCGTGGACTTCAACTCCCAGAATTCCTGAGCCATTGCCTACCCCTGATCTAGCAGATTTAACGAGAGGACACACCCAGTACAGGTAGTCCTCAACTTACAACAGTTCATTAAGGGACCTTTTGAAATTACAAAGGCACTTAAAAATGTAACTTATGAACGTTTTTCACACGACCTTTGCAGCATCCCCATGGTCCCATGATCAAAACTCAGATGCTTGGCAATTGGCTCACATTTATGAGGGTTGCAATGTTCCGGGGTCATGGGGTTATCTTTTACCACCCATTGCCAAGCAAAGTCAAATGGGGAGGCCAGATTCTCCTTAACAACGGTGTTACTAGCTTAAGAACTGCAGTAATGCACTTTAACAACAGTGGCGAGAAAGGTTGTAAAATGGGACAAAACTCACTCAACAACTGTCTCGCTTAGCAACAGAAACATTGGGCTCAATTGTGGCCGTAAGTCGAGGACTATCTGCAGTGTGTCGAGGGTACAATATAGAGCATCCATCTAGCTGGAAACCCAGCATGGCGTTTTGTTGTAAACCTTGCAGTAACCAAATGTGCAAGATAGATGGCAGCTCTGGGAATTTGAGGCACTAGCATATGGGGCTGGATTACCTTGACTTAAAGTACCCCTTTGAGATAAGGCAGCAGGCAACTTGTGTGTGTGTGTGTGTGTGTGTGTGTGTGTGTGTGTTATTGTCAGGATGATGGCAGAGGCAGAGCCACAAAGTAGTTATGTCATTCGTACAAGTCTGTTCCATCTAGCAGTCACAATTACAATAAACATGCCAAAGGAAAATTTATTTCCCCAGAGACGGCACTACAACACTGTGAAATTCAATTGCTTTGGTGATAAGATCTTATTCAGTGCATCTGTTTTCTTTCTTTACCTCGCCTAATAAGGTAAAGAACCAGCCTGGATCACATAGGAGAGTTGAATAAGGATGGACAGAGTTCAAATCTCCCTGTATCCAACAAGTAGACTCGGATGACCTTCCCCTAATCGCCTTCCCCTCACAAACGGAATCACCACACATTCAACTTCCAGGAAGGAGACTGAGGAGATGTGAGAAAGTAAAGATTCCCTGTGAGCTGTTTCAAGACCGCAGGATGAAAGCAAAAATAAAGAGCACAAGATTCAGCTGCTCAGCTTTTGTTCTCCTTTTGACCTTCAGCTGTCGAACAGAATTGCATTCTTGCCATCTCATCAGAAGAGAAAAGGCCGGATTTGTTACTATATCATGCACCAAGCTGCTTGGCCGGATGCCAACAGCCACCAGAAATGCAAGGCCTCTGTCCTTGACGCAGATGCTTACATATACAGACTCTGCTCTTCGTACTGGAGCCCCAGATTTTCTTTATATAGCCGGAGAGAGGAGTGAATCACTGTTAGAAACAAACCTGTTATTCTGACACAAGCAGTATTTTGAATATTTTTAGGGAATATACGAACATGCACTGCCGATTATGTGGATAGTGAGTTACGAGAAGCATTTTCGGTGCACGTATTCATAGAATGTGGAATCCTACGTAAGTTTTTTGTAAAAAAAACATTTTTAAAAGCTGTAAATGTAATACCATACAATGAAATCATTTTTTTTTTTTTTTAAAAAAAGATAAAAATAGAATAAAAATGAAGTAAAAACTAGAATCGTTAAAACAGAACCATCGGGGGGGGGGGAATAATGACAGGAAAAGCTGACATTTAAAAAAAACTGTGTTTTTAGGATATCTAAAGCACTTTAGACCCAATTTTGGTATAGTGGTTAAGGCACAAGGCTAGAAACCAGGAGACGGCGAGTTCTAGTCCCACCTTAGCACAAAATCAGCTAAATGACCTTGGGCTGGTCACTCTCTCTCAGCCCTAGGAAGCAGACAAGGGCAAACCACATCTGAAAAACCTTGCCAAGAAAACATCAGGGATTAATCCAGACGGTTGCCAAGACACTGACTGAAAGGCATACATTCACATACACATAAGCAGCCTAGACCTGCCTCTGTGACTGAGACAGCATACAGGTTCATTAAATACATATTTTTTATATAAATCACATTAAGCTAAATCCAGAGCAGGCCATTTTCTGACCGATCGAAGTGAACTCTGTCTCTGTTCTCCAGGGTAAGTAGAAATCAGAAAGAACAGACCAAATCTGTCATCTACAGCAATTCCACCATTGCGTAATGGTAGAAATAAGCCCAAATAGAGCATATTTTTACATTAGGTCTAAATGACATTCGTCATTAAAAGTCCCCCCCAAAAGTATATTCATTGCTTCTTTCTCTATCCCTCCTCCCCCTCCCTATATTCAGTCCAATAATATGGGGCAAGGAAATGGATACTCTCCATGGATCACATTGCTGCAAGGAGAAAAAGGCGTGGATGTCATGTTGGTAGCAGGCTCCATTCCTTAACACTGGCCAAGGTTTCAGAATGCTGTGGGGCTAAAAATAGATTTTTGCTCCAGGATTTGTAGGAGGCAAGCGCTCTTTAATCTGTGGCTGCATGATGGACTGCACAGTGCAAATATAACACTTTACCTCATTGGATTTTCAAGGGTTCTCCAAGATCAGAATTAAACCAGGAAAAAAAACCCAAAACCTTGAACTACATCTAAGGGATACATTTGAACAACTAGAATCTTAGTTTTAAAAATGGGAGCCATATGGAGATGATCACAAAGCACAGGATGCAGGATGCAGAAGGGAAACTGGAATCCAAATTGCTCTTCCGAAGCCACATGCATGAAAAAAAGGGGTAGTATTTGATCACTTAGTCAAGCCCCTATTTTTGAAACCAGTAACTATCTCAGCAGATGTGCCCTTCTTGGGCCCCAATCATA